AATATTAATAAAATAAAGTAAAAAAAATGCAGGCTTTTGCTCATCTCACCCTACCACTACCTCTCACGACCACTATCAGAGGTCTTGTGTGGGTCCTGAGACTCTGCATTTGCCATAGGCACCCAAGAAAATACTAATGCCCACGTCTCTGGAGCATTTCATGAAAGATAAGTTAGCCAGTTATCGTTCTCCTTCCCTTCGTTTTCCCCTCCTCTTCATTCTGCTCATATTTCTGGAAAACAATTAGTTATAAGTCAGTTTCTTTGACTTTTAATATTAAAGCTCATCCCCAAACTTTCCCATCTCACAAATCATTTCCATGTTTCCCAAGGGACAGTCTTCCTGGTTTGGAAGGCAGAACGCCTGACTTACAGCACTGAGTCCACTATTATCCATCAATCAATCCATGTCCCTACATTGCACCTTCTTCCTCTTCTAAAATTGAAGTAATATTCTGTACTCTGCTTCCTTACAGGTTTGTATTGAAGATTAAATGTGACAAAGATAGGGAAATGCTTCATAAGTTGTACATAAGTAAAATAAGGAACTACATTTTTAAAACTCATCTGTTAAAATACCAGAGCTTCTTTTTTAATGATGTTTTGCATCAGGGATTTTGAGCAGCTCTGCCAATGTTTCTGATCAAGCATATGTTTGAGGAGAAGCAGTTGTGATCTCGCTGCATTTTAAGTTGTGGCATCTCAGCCCCGCCCTCTCCTAGCCTACCCAGATACATTTAACAGCTTTGCAATGTAATTTCACAGATTCAGAAATTGAAGTCTTTCAGATTCTTTAATCCAAATCCAAAAATTACCCTTCCTATGTTTCCAGCAAAACCTCTTCCACACAGAATATAAAATATCAGATACTAACAATAGAATATTAAAAGCCAAATCTGAAGCAATTACCACAGCTTTGGAGAACAGTCCCACACACAGCTGGTGCCCAATCAGAAGGTCTGTATCTGTCACCCACCATCTCTGCTACTCATAGAATCAGAATGTCAGAGCTGCAGAGGATCTAACAGATAATCCTCCTCCTCTTTCACTACTGGGGAAAGCGAGGCACGGGAAAGACACTCCATCATCTCCAGTCACACGTGGATGGATGCTAAAAAGGCATCAGGTCGCTGTCTTCTGGCTGCCTATTCACATTGCTACATTCTTTTGCTTCCTTTGCTGAGTTATTAGAGTGATCGTGTCATTGGAAGTGAGTAAGTGTTAAGCCATGTGCATTCAATGTAATCGATTGCATTGGAAGGGGGTCTCTCAGGAAGCAACGACATGCATTATTTTGTTTTGTTTTTTTTTTTTGTTTTTTTTTTGTTTTTTTTATAGAGGCATGTTTTCTTTGTTTGTTTGTTTGTTTGTTTTGTTTACACAAGCACTGAGTACAGTCAGAAGCGCGGGAGGGTGAGAGGATTCACCAGAGCCAGAGCGGGGAGCAGAGCAGGCAGAGGGACCGAAGCACACTGCTGAGGGGAGCAGCGGGCGGCAGGAGAGGTCTGCGCGCCATGCGGAACCCTCCTCCGGTGGCCGGGGAGCAGCCGGGAATCGAACCGGCGCTGCAGAGGCCGCAGGCAGCTTTGCAACCCAGCGCTCAACCGCTGCGCCACCGGGGAGGCCCGACATGCATTATTTTGTATCTTGAATGAGGACCCAAAAGGCAGATGACTAGAAACTATTAACTGTTGACCATTAGGTCAATACAATAATGTAAACTGAGACTGGCAATGGTCAACTGGGACACAAGATCGCTCTGTCATTCTGTTGTGCCAAGATACTGTGAGTCTGTTGAGGAGGCTGGGCCATTGTCCATCTTTCTCCATGACTTGACTCTTTGATAAGGGCCCGATTGATCAAAAAGAGTGGTGTCAGGCATCCAAGAGCAGTTTCATAGTAAGCTCAATCTTTTTTTTTTTTTTTTTAAAGATTTTATTTATTTATTTATACAAGCACTGGGTACAGTTAGAAGTGCAGGAGGGTGAGAGAATTCACCAGAGCCAGAGCGGGGAACAGAACAGGCAGACCGACGAAATACACTGCTGAGGGGAGCAGCGGGCACGGCAGGAGAGGTCTGCGTGCCATGTGGGACCCTCGCTGGTGGGCGGGGATCAAACTGGCACTGCAGAGGCTGCAGGCAGCTTTGCAGCCCAGCGCTCCACTGCTGTACCACCAATCTTTACTTGAATCCCTCAAGGGATTACTTGAATCCCTGCAAGGATTTTATGAGTTAGCCAACATAAAGTCTTGGAAACTCCCTGCCCTGTCTTCCATCCTCTCTTCTCATTCTTTGCTGTTTATTCACCCAGCCCCTCTTTCTGTGTCCTCCATACTTTACATCTGCCTCCAAAGGGTTCCCCCCCTCCGCTTTCTACTTGCTTTCGCCAGTTCTACATCATAGACACTGTAAGTGCCAATTGGCAAAGAATTCAATAGGTAGAAGGGGTTAGTAGAAAATTACACTGTGTTGACATCCCTGTCACACTGTGTTTCAAGAAAAGGAGTAGCTGCATCATACTGCAGGCTTCCACGGGTGGAATGAATATTACATGTACTCCTGCACATATGACCTTTACCTTTACCATCATAGAGTAACAAGAAAGTGCTGGTGACAGCAGCACGTACACTGGACTTAACAGTGGTAGTTCTGAAGACCATGAGTGAGAATGATTAAGAGCACAGTCTTTGGAGTCAAAATTGCAAGGTCTGATCCTGCCATTTATTAACGGAGTAAATTTGGGCAAATTACTTAAAGTCTCTGAAACTTAGTCTCATTATCTGTGAAATGGATACAAAATACTTGAATTGATGCCTGACACATGGGTGCTGCCCTAATGGATGGGTTGTTTTTGTCATTGCTATTAACAACGATGAGAATAATAAATATGATAGGAAGGGAATTTGGCCAGTGAGAAATGAAAAGCCTTTCCTTCCCTCCCTCCATCCCTTTTTCTTCCCTTCTTTCATTTTTAAAAAAGATTTATTTATTTATGCTTACAAGAACTGGGGTACCGACCAGAGGTGTGTGTGGGGGGGGACGGGGGTGAAAGGATTCACCAGAGACAGAGTGGGGAACAGAATAGACAGACTGAAATACACTGCTGAGGGGAGCAGAGGGCAAGTCAGGAGAGGTCTGCTGTGCCATGTGGGTATCTTCCTGGCCGGGGATCGAACTTGTGTTGCAGTGGCTGCGGATAGCCTCATAGGCTGCATCTCAACCCCTGTGCCTCCAGGGAGGCCCCTCCCTTCTTTCTTTGTGTTCATTCTTTTTATTCTTTTTAATGGGTATGTTCAGTGAATAAGATGGCTAAAAATATCAAGAAGGAGGTATGTGAGAATGGAAGATCACATCTTGTGTTATCTAGAGAGTTTACACTTGAAAATTTCATGTGAAAAATCTGGAAGAAGGAATGTAGAAACAAGAATCAAACAAGAATCAAATCTATGTTCAGAGCAAACCCAGAAATAGTTAGCTCCTATTATTTAGAGAAGAAATCTTGCAAATTCTGCTGCAATAAGAAGAATCTTCCAATTGGAAAGAAGAGACTATTATAGAGAGAAAGTTACACCCTGGATTGATGGGAAACATCTGTCTCCGAATCCAGATGCATTATATCTCAGGAGTTTAAAGGATCTCATTGATAAGGGCTCTGGATTGTGCTCTTTCTGGGACTTGGGAAATGAGGGAAGCCTGGAGACCAGAAAATATAACCCCAGTTCTCAAAGAAAGACTAAAGCTACACTGTAGAAACTCTGAACTCATAGCTGAGTAGACCTTACAAAATTCTGACAGTTATTACACAAGTGATTTGTGAGCATCAATGTTATTTCATTAAAAATTGATTCGGGCCAACTAATTTCATTATTTGTTAGGGCAGATTTGCTGCTTGACAGAGATATTCAGCAAGGCTGTGGACGAGGTACCCATGGAGGTCCCTGCTTAACCATACTGAATGCTGCTTATTTAGGGGATGGCTGTCTATGTTCGTGTTACACAGATTTTGCTCAAATTCTGTTCTATTCAGTGGGGTTTTTTTTGTTTGTTTGTTTTTTATCTCCACTAAAGCCAAAAATATCTAAATTAAAGTGAAATACCTAGGCAGAAATAGATTATCTGACCTTCCTATGGGCTTATAAAATCCTTAAAGTCCAGTTTGAGTCCATCCTAAGTAGTCAGATCTTGAATGTTGACATTGTGACTTAGAATGATCTCTGTGGACTAAAATGAGAACAAATCAATGAAATGAAGTTTATTTTTTTTTTACAATACTCATACTAATAAATTTTTATTGTTTATCTGGAATTCAAATTTAATTGGGCATCTGGTGAAATGAAGTTTAAATGAGACATGTGGTATATATTTGGCCTCCAAGAAGCAAATAACAAAAATTGCATAAACATATTAAACAGGAATTGACAGCTGATTGGGCCCAAAAGATGAAAGTTGACATCAGAGTCAGGCTAAGCCAATATTAGCCCTTGTTCCAAATGAACTTAATGTTGACCATGTTCATGGAAATCAACTAAATTGAGGGCAAAATGTGTGTGAAGAAAGTCAGACTCACCGTATAGAGATGTGCTCTTTCCTGAAGCCGTATTTCAAGAGTGATGACCCTGGCAAAGACTGTTCAGAGGACTCTGAAAATCATAATAAGTGTAGGATGACAAAAACAGGAATGAGTTACCTGGAGAAAAGAAAGCCAGGAGACTAAACTGGGTTGAGGGCAGAATTTCAAGTGGTCCTGGAGGGCGTAGGAGTTCCATAGGCGTCAAAGTTGTCGGGAAACAGCTTTGGCTGAACAAGAATAAGCTCTTTCCAAATACTAAGTTGATCAAATGTATTATGGTGGAACTGGCCACTAGAGAATTGTAGGCAGGGGCTAAAGCACCTCCATCTGCATGGCACAAGGGGCTTTCTCACACTGGGCGGGCTCTTTCTCAAATCATCTGTGACGCCCATTCCAACTCTGAGACTCTACCATCTTCTCCCCTCTCTAGGGATGCAGTGGAGTGTGGTGGCCATTGGGAGAGTCATTGCCACCCCCCAGCAACTTCTCCTTTGGTGGCTGCCCAGCCCAGTGACACTTAGGCCCCTGGGCAGAGACCCGGAAGACAGCATCCTTCTGAGAGAGGGCCAGGTGCTAACTGCTGCTTGCTCACATGACCACATCTGGCACCCTCTGCACGGCACATCCCACCATCGGTGCAGCCACCCCTGCCCACTGGGCTTTTCCTCCAGGATTCCAGCAAGTGGCGTTCCAGGCAGTGAGGGGACAGGACAGCCTGTGGTTCATGGGAGAATCTCCTCCAGGCTTCCCCACGGAGGGATCTCTTCATTCCAGCGGTCCCTCTTCCTGGCATCTTGCCCTTAAATCACACTGTTGTCCCCAATATGTCCCCTTCCTGTGCTTGTCTGTCTCACTCTTGTTCCAAACACAGTCAATCCCTTTGCCCCATTGCAGTCAAACACATCTCAAATCTGCTTTCTTTGCTACATCTGCTCATGGACATTGTCCAAACACACCCTCTCGGGGTCTGTTGGCTGGTCGTGTTCCTGAACCACACACGTCTGACTGTTCATGTCTATCACATTCACGTTCAAATGCGCACTGTCTCCTCCTTGTCCTGCCCTGTCCCAGATGCTCTCCCCTGTGTCTGGGCCCAAACGTGCATTTTCTGGGCCAGCTCCCCCATCTGCAGCGGACTTCCACCTGCTCTTCCTGTGTCCAGGGGCTGTTCTGCGCTGCAGGGCCTGCTCTGCCTATTCACCAGGGAAGAAGCCGGGGCACTGCAGAACCAGGGGGGGAAAGCAGAAGACAACTGGCCCTGAGCTGTGGCCTCACATTCTCTTCTGAGATCCTCATTTTCTCCTGGGCCAGAGCTGGGCACCTTCTCCTAAAGAACCAGGGTTAGGGCTGGGCTGATGGCTTTGATCATCGTATTTATGAACAACTGGAAAATTTTCCCTGGAGCCTTGGGGGAAGCCCACGACAGTACCAATTCAGAACCCTTGAGTCTGGCTTGTTGCTCCCAAAGGAGAGGACTGTTGGAAGCTCACACTGTGGAGACCTGTGGCTCTGTTGCCCACTCCTGTCCCCCAGGTGAAGGCAGGGCCACTGGCCCTGGGGTGGGAGACAGTGCTTGCCTTGAGCCAGAGGCCCCAAACTCCAGCCCCAGCTCTGCTGTAAATGTGATGTGATATCTTGACCTCCTACCTTCCCATCCCTGGACCTTACTTTCTATATCTGTTGATTCAAGTTGGAACTTGGGGAATCTCTAAGGGTCCTCTCTGTTTCTAGAACAAGATGCTGCTACAGCCATCAGCTACCTCTAAAAACCATGGGATGCCTGCCTGCCTTTTGACTTTGTTTCAAAGGAACTACCCTCTTCATGTGGGCCTTCTAGACCTTGCCAGTTTTGCCCTCCAGCTTACCCCGGGTACCTTTCTCTCTAAGCTAAATCCATGGCTCTTGCCAACTGCCCTAGAGTGTAGCTCCCAGGAGGTGAACACCACCACGTCCCACTGCCCTGTGAGTTAACTTGATCCTGGCTGTGAGTTAATAGCATCTCAGGGCTTGACCACACCCGCTTTGCTCCTGCTGCTGAAGAGGCATCAGTTATCATTTCCGTTGATGTTTACTTTAGTTCTGCAATCAAGCTGCACAGGAAAGAGACTTTGGAATAAGGAAGAAAAGATTGTCCCCAAACCATCCAAACCCACAAGGAATTCTGCATCATGTGAAGGCTTAGTTTGGTTGGGGACAAAGTATTGCCTTAGGGAAAGGAAAAGCCTCTAAAGAGAAATATTATATAGATGTAAAAAAGCTTTGCATCTTGCATAGATTGGGACTCTCACAGATCAGTGGAGCGGGTTCAAGTGGCATCTCTTGTCAAATGTGAAGAAGTTTATTTAAGTCCTGATTTGCACCTTAACTCTGGCTGAACCAATCCCCTTTGCTGTTGCAACTCACTCCTTCTCTACCTTTACTAGATTGGGCTTAGGAGCAACACCACTTGGGGAATGTCCCTTTTCTATTACAAAGGAGGGAGCAGCAAGACTCTGGGCCCAAGATTCTGAACCTGGTGATGAGACCCAAAGTCTTTGTTCTAGCTGCCACATCTGCCCTGCCCATCCACTGCCCCCAGGAGCATGCAGTGAAGATGGGGTGATGCAGAAGCAGCACATGCACTGAGTCAGTGCTGACCTCCTGTGTGACCCTGACCTGGTAACTGAACCTCTCTGGCCTCAGAGACAATCTCTCCTGCCTACTTCATGAAGTCGTTGTGAGGAGAAGATAAAACATTGGTTGGTAAAAAAAAAAAACATTCTGTAAACCATAAAATGCCATTCTGTATGTCTATTATGACTATGGTGACTTTGGATGCTTCTTGAGCTCTCAAAGACTGAGAACTAAACCCCAAAAGGTAAAATGATTTAGAAAGTGAGCTTTCTCTGTTGAAAAACAATCCCAAGAGCATCTGTTTTTCCTAATCTACCTTCTTCATTTGGTCACACCAAGGGCCATAAACACTGGGAGCATTTGAAACATGTTCAAAGCAATTTTGTTCTCCGACTAAAGGGCTGGGTTGAGAGAGATGGGAACTATTGGCTGATTTTGCAAAGAATGAGCCTAAATCTTCATGTAACTTCAAAAACATGTGGAAAAAAGTCAAATGCCATAAAAGAATGCATTTGGGTAAAAAAGACCTGGGTCATTGAAATGATCCCCACCCTGTAGAAATATGTTAATGTTCTATGAGAAAAGAAAAAAAAAACAAACCTCAAACATGGACCAGATTATCAATGACTATCTAAGAATGCTACATAGTTTACTATGAAGCAGATAACTTTTAATACTTTTCCTAATCTAATAGTCTAAATTATTGTTAGTTATGGCTTAATGTTACTTAGCTAACACTTTAGTTTTGTTTACATTTTTTAGTAAAGTAGAATTACAAATGGGGCCTCTCATATCATTCATGATGTTCTGAGTCCCATTGTATAATTGTCATATAAAGTACGTGGAACAGTATCTAAAACATGGAACTGAATTATATAATTTCAAAGGATTACAACTTTTAGTGATGGCTGTATCTTGTTTTTTGAACTCATTAGTGATATCTATGATTGATTTGAAAGCTAAAACTTAGAACGTACTAGGGTCCCCAATTTTAATTTGTTTCTGCAGAGAGCTTTTTGGTTTTATGATGGTCAACTTTTTGAATCAATTCTCATGAATGTGTTTTGGGAAAAACAGCAGCCTACATAAGCTTGTTATTTTCATTAATAAATTCTCTCTATTTATTGATGAGCATTAATAAATTATACATGTTTCTATTTGTGCATTTCATATATGTCTATATAGATTATTCATGGGGGGGGAGCTTAAGTCTTAAAGTTAATAACCAAATATTGAATATACAAGAAGGTGCCAAATTCATAGATTGGGACTCTCACAGATCAGTGGAGCGGGTTCAAGTGGCATCTCTTGTCAAATGTGAACACCATGCATGAGTTTTGTGTAGCTACTCTGTCACTTCATACCCAACCCATCCCTTGGAAGTTTTGGGTTTTTAGAAGCTGGAGAATTTGGTCCATGGTATCAGGTTCTCCTCCAGGTAAAACCAGAAGCTCAGGGCCCTCAATAATGTGATTCTACCTGTGTGCATGTCTGCCATCTTCATCAGGGCCTTAAGCACTAAGACAGACCTCTCTGACATGATCACCCCAAGAGCAGGGGATGGTGAAGAGAATCTAGTCCAGGCACTCACTCCCCAGGCACAACCATAGGAGCCAATCAAGGTAGAGGACATACAGAGGGCTTTGCTTGAGATTTTTAATCCAATGTCTCCTTGCTGAAACATTTTTGGAAATATTGATAGACTCAGTGTCTATGAAATCCAACACCCACATTCTCTGAGTCTAGGGCAGTGGAGAGACCCCTATCAGCCAGTTGGGGGCTGAACATTTGTCCCAGCTTGCAGCTCTTCTGTTTGACCCTTGGGACCTCTGTCATCACTGAGCAGAGAGATATGTGCCAGACAGGTGACAGTAAACACAAAGACTCTAAATCAGAAATGAGCTTTAGCTTGTGTTACTGGAGCTCAGTGACACAAAAAGAAAAGCAAAGATGATAATGACTCAGAAAAGGAAGTAAAGATGATAATGACTCAGTAGCTTTAGTTACTATTCTTCAGCTAACTGCAATGAAGATCTTGTAGGAAGCCTTTTCTACAAAACTCCACAAAGTAGTGGAAGACACTGAGCTGCATGTGAGAGAAGTTGACCTGGAGTTTCCCCAAGCATGCAGAGATTGCCTGGAGCTGGAAGTGGAGCCAGAAGTGGAGCCCAGGCCCAGCCATATGGGGCATTTATATGCTGCGTCACTTGGTCCTGAGATGTGCGCTCTTTGGCAACATGAAGGTCCTTGAAACTGATGGAGTCTGTTCTTATACATCTTCTCCCCTTTGCCTTTCTTTCCCCATAAGTCTTGGCTTTCTGTAAACAAATAAAGATGCATTTTATCATTTCTCCACCTTTTAGCTAAGATCAAGTGCAAATAACGATGCATTTATAAAGTGTTCTTCACTGACTTTAATAAACTAATCCCAAAGCACCTAATTGGAAGTAAAATACTTATTCTTGGCCAGTCAGAAATTGGTTTCCCATTAAAACTATTAATTTCATAGGAAATAAGGGAAATTCAATCTAGCTATATAATCAGTAGTTTTTTCTCACGCATTGCTTTGTGTCCGTTCTGACATCATCCTTCTGCAATTGATGATATCTTTCATCTGGGCTGGGGCGTCGGGCTCAAAAACACAACTTGGAGCATGCCATTTCCCTCATCAGAGTCCCAAGGGGCTCCTCATTGCCTGCCAAATTCTGGGCTCTCCATAGCGTGTCTAAATTGCCATTCACAGTTTTGTCTCCAGTTACCCTGCCAAGCTGACAATATGCTTCGTCTCCCCTCACTTCTTCCCTGCCTTTGACCTTCAGGCCATTGGTCCTGCTATTCTGTCAGTGGGCACACATCCCCTCACCTCAGATCTCAAATGCCATCTTCTCCTTGGCTTCTTCTCCGGCCT